TATGTTTCATCACAAAGACATTTATATGTATTATCATTTATTAAACATATACCTACACCACAAATTGATGATGAACAATGTTGATTTGGAATTAATGAAACGCCATCAGATATATCAATTGGATCCGGTTGAATAAGACGAGAATTAGTACAGTTTTTATAAACTAAATTGCGTAATTGACCACGAAAACGTGGTTGCATATAAACATCAAATGAGGATAAATTTCCTGAGCTTGGCCGTTCTAATACCGCTGGAATACCTGAAGCAAGAAAAAACATCTTTCTAAACAGCCAAGCATTTCTAAAAAACGAGTTTTCGCGTCTATTCAGAAAACACAAAAACTAGCTATTTTCTTCATATAAGAAGCGTGAAGATACTTAACAAGGCAACTTCTTTTTTTTGCATCTGGAAAACGTCCAAAAAGTTTTTTCATCATATGTTGACATACACTGCGCATAAGAAAAGTACTTTTTATCTGCAAAGCAGGTCAAAACATCACGAGAAAAATTTTCTTTTTGCATGCTTTCCAGATATAAAAGTTGCCTTGTTAAGAATCTTCACGCATCTTTATTGATGAAAATAACACGCATTGATATTTTCTGAATAGACATGAAAACGAGAACCACGTTTAAGAGCGTTATCACAAATTCTTATCTACTTGAGTATTAGATATTATCGGTAATACAATCTATCTATTAAACAGTACTTTGATTGTACAACAATGAATGTCAATATTGATTCTTTATAGGAATAAGATTTGAAAACAAAATATCATGTCATGCTATAGTCTAATGTTTCAGATTAAATTCAGACAAAAGAAAAATTCTTTCATTACTAAAAGTACTTTGTAAGTTTTACTTTGATTAGAATCTTAAGAAAAATAATTTGTCGTAAAAGAATGAAAATTTTAAATGTAATTCATAGATGTCCTTGTAACTCATTATGAACGACAAAGAATTTTTTTTTTCTCTCATTAATTTTCTATTTCGAACACAAATAGATTATTTATAATTACATTTGCATGTTGGATAGATTCAAAATTTTATCGGTTATATCAATAAATATACTTCTCATATCAGAGTTCAATATGAACCAAAATTGTCATTCGTTAATATGACTAAGTTCTTTCAAAATCAAAAACAAGAACAACTGATCGATTCATCTTCATTCATCCAAAAAATAATCGTTATAGACAATTTTTTCTATACTTCATCAATTCAAAAGCGGATATCTCATGTCAACATTATTTAAATATCATCGTCAGATAAGTAACACATGTTGATAGGATAACTGTCATTACCTCCAAAATAAAATGGTGATGCTTGATATTCATTATATATAGCACCGCCAAAATATAAATCTTCTGAATGTGTTATTGTTGAGTTTTGTGCCAATCCATTATCAATACTAAGAATTGTTGTTTGTCCATTACGTTTAATTAATATAGTATGCCATTTATCATCATTTATTTTCATGTTAACATTTAAAGCTTGTCGATCATTTCCCAAATTAAATAAAAGACGAGGTTTACCTTCAATTAATTTTAAATAAAAAAAATCAAATTTTCCCCGATCATCAATATATGCAAGTGTACCATCATGTACATTTGTTCTTATATCAAAACGAATATAACCTGTCAGACATGGATGCCAAGAATCGAATGCTACATAACTATTTGATTTTGCTGAAAAAATGTATGTATTTGATAATAAGAATGATAATGTTCTATTAATAAGAAATAAATAAATAAAAATAAATAAAAACATTCTATTAAAATGATGCTATCATCATAATCATCTAAAGAAGAAAAAAGAAATACAATACATTAACCTCAAGATGTGTCTTAGATTAAAAGTCATTCATTTTTCAAAGATAGATGACAAATATAATTCGAACATTTATTCAACCAAAATCTAATTATTTCCTTTTTTATTACACACCTGATTTATTGTTATTATGTGTTCATACTATTGGGTGATCGTGATTATATGGATGATCAAACGATCAGGAGAGAAATGAGGGAGAAAATTTCTCTCGGCACTACGACTAGCTGCAACAGTACGATAGCACGAATGATTACGTACGATGTAAGCAATTGATTTCTTTTTTTTTCTTCTCTCGTCATTGATTCTTTGGCATGTGGTGCCACAAAAAACATTGTACGTACAATATCGTTATATAGAAACAGGAGCCAAGACAAAAGAATTTTTTTTTGGGTTGTAGCACAAAAAAAAAGGCAATAAACGAAGATAGACAGATAGTGATGATAGATGAGAAGTATGAGAGAATGATGTGCTGAGTTGAAGGTATCAAGATATCAAGATAATTGTCGAGAGAAGAGTCTGCATATGGAAGAAACAATTTATCCTATAGAAAGGATTTGTAAATTGAATCAACACAAGTGGCAAATGCGTGGTTGATTGACCATCGTTTTCTTTGCTTTTTTTTCCTTCTATCTCGAAGTTTCTCGTCAATGTTGTTCTAACTCGAGTACGGTAATAATAATGATGATGATGTTATTTCTATGTATGTCAATGTTATGGAAAAAAATAAGAGAGAATAATCAAAGTTCAAATGAGACAGACAAATATGATGGACCGCCCGTCAAGCTTCATCATATCACATGCTTTTATAAATAAACACTTCGACTACAACATAATCGAATAAGATGTCGATGCTCAATATCAAGCCAATTGTATGCATACAAACTAAAGCAGACTCATTAATGCCTATAGTAAATACAAGCACAAATATTTCTTTGTATTTTCATATATATGAATAATGAACAATACAATTGTATGTTGTGTAAAAGAATTTTTCTAATGGCAGTTCATTAGTTAAAATATGCACGCTATGAAATTGTTGAGCACATATTTCCCAATAGATAATTTTTATTTCTTTTGTTTTTTTTTAACATAAAGACATCATACAATATAATGTATCATAATGTTTCATCAATTACTCAAATGACAAAAATTCTTTTGTCTCTATTTCATATGAGTTATAACAACAATAATGATTGAAATGTAAATAGATTTGAGAGATTGTTTTTTAACATAGAGAAATCAAAATAAACATGAATCGATTATGTATCTATACTAAGCACTTATCAAGTCATCAGCTATATACTTTGACCCTGACAGAAGCTGTTGCACATAATGTACTAGTTGTCTCAGATACTATCCTAAAGGTGTATTGTCATTACTTGTTATTCATGCGTTCATTTGAATAAGCAATGAGATATAAGAAAAAGAGAACCCTGAAGAACAGTTTCTTTATCTTTTTTTCATATTTATTCTAATCGATTATGATGAATGGAATAGCGTTGATGACTCACGGCAACTCTACAGAAGCGAAATAACCTTGACAATAGTACTTTGTCAAAAGACTGACAATAGTAAAAAGGAAAGAATTTGCGACTAACTACAAAACTTGATCACATTAGAAATAAACAAATGCTGCAACTTAGTAGTTGACGATGACAGATGAAGAACTTAATGATATGTGCTATTTACTAATAAAAGAAGAAGAAAAAAAAACAGAAATTCAAAGAAAAGACAATATACTCTAATACATGTCGATTTATTCATATAATGAAACTTAGATTTTTTATTGATAAGAAAGTATTTTGTTTGTTAATTGAAAATGATCATTTTGCATTAGACGACATGTATTCAATGAGAATATAAATATGAATTGAATCTTTCCATAAGATAATTTACTTTCTATCGTAATTGAAATGTAAAAGCTTCGACATTTCAAATCTGATTGTTGCATCTCAAAATATATATTCGCTATGTCATTAGTTGTTCGATCAAAATGTTCCTATGATAATAGAGTAACAAGGTGATGAAATGATAACAGAAGAAGCCTCTTTGCGCAAGAAATTGAACCTTGCATCTTCTACTTACCAGACAAATGTGCAAGGATTATGCTAGAAAGGATATTCTTTATCCTTCATATAATAGAAGAAAGAACACTTAGGATATAACATAATTTCTTTAGCTACCAGAACTTATTATTCTAGTTTTAATGTTTTTTTTTAAACCATCACGATCTTCTAAGAACAATAAACACAAATATCATCCTGACATACATGTTCATATATTTTCTCATTGAAATAAATTCATCGACTCATAATTAAAACTCCAAATGACAATATATTTTATTAATATATACTTCATTGTCCATATTGTATTGATGTTGATATATTTTCTTGTTCAATTTGACATTGCTATTGATCACACTATGTTTGTCTTGAATGCAAATTTTTGATTATTACTCTAGCCTAATTGATTTTTTTGATGATCATACTTTGCACTAAGTCGATTTCTCAACTGCTTCACCATAATCGATAACTCGTCCAACTGTTACATGTACTATATAGCATTGCTTTTTTCCTCAGCAATTGAATGTCGTAATGCAACTGAGACGTAAGTATTTTCTTTTGTCCTACTATAGATATGTAACCATAGGACTCATTCAACGCGTCTACAAAATGATATAATTTATTTACTGATTTAAATATATTTGCGAGAAAGAAAAAAAACTTGACAATACATACAAATTTCAGGCTAAAATTCTCGTACTTTCATTTTGTTCTATTGAATACAAGGTTATATAAAAAACAAACAAATTATACAGTTTTGTAACTGTTGATAAGACGTGTCTGATAAGTTCTAGGTTGCATATCAACGGAAGGGCGGAAAAGTATTAGGCTTATTAGAAGAAAGTACTTGTATCTAGTCTCAATGACGTTCTGTTACTAATGGTAAGTCAGCAGTTTCAGCTGCAAGAATACAACATTGATTTTATAATATCCTTTCTCAATGCAAAATAATTTACAAAGAAAAAACTCTTTCAAAAATAGTATAATACTCAAAAATAAATTGATATCTTCATAATAAATAACATCAATGGTTACTATTTATTCTATATATATATATCTATTATTAACACGTATAAAAAAAATAAGTTAAAAAAAACACATTTACAAAATTTTAATTATTTTCAATTGTAGGTGATGAGATTGATTCAACTAAAATATCGTTATTATTATCATCATCATTACAAGATGATGTTGTTGTTGATGATATTGACCAATATTGATGCATACGTTTTTGAAAATTTTCAAGATAAACACGTTGTTGTTCAATAAATTGAATTGTACTATTTGATACATCATAAATTAAATCACAGAAACCTTTCATTATAATTACACGTTTCATTAATAAATTTGGAATATTTGACATTTGATTTATAATCAACTGAAATTAATAGAAAGTTTTACTGTTAATAAATTATTTTTTTAAGAACGAAGTTAAGTTTCGAACTAGAATCTGTCGGATTGAATCTGAAAACTTTCAACTCGACGAACTCTAATTCGAACAACAACTACAATTTGACAGCAATCTTTATCATTTTATATCTTATACATACTGATATGTCTGTTATATATTTCTTTTCTATACAGTTTGTGACATATATCAATTAATATCTTTCATAAAAGAGATGTTATTTCAACTTCTTGTTTTCAATAAAAACAACGGCATAACGTTTCAGATATCAATTTCAGATAGATTCTATTGACAAATTTGTTTTTTGTTATTATCAACGTACATCTCGATATCTAGTCTCTTATATAGAAAGAATAATTCATGATGACAAGATCCAAGAATATAATTCGATAAGATTATAACATATGTCAATAAAGAATTAATAATAAATTAGTAGAAAATTCTCCTAAGATCTGTTATAATACCTCCTTCTTTCGAATATAATATTTTGCTACACATTTAGCTAATTCTACAACAGTTTGTAAATCTTCAATTTGTGAAGCTAGAGCAATACCTAAAAAAAAAGAATTCCAAATACAATTTACTGTCGAAATATTAGGAAAAAAAAATATTTGTTTTTTGTTACCATAATGAAGATCTTTACATATTCCCGGTCGAAGTGTATATGAATAAATAATTGAATTTTGTTCTTTTAATTGATCAAGTATTGTTTGTGGATGAAATCGACGTAAACGATGTATTGAATCACTATCCGTATCACTACCAATTTTATCATTATAAATAACATCAAAATGATAATTAGCAAGATTTCGATAGATATAACCAACAGATGTTAAGTGTTGTAAATGGGTTGCTATAATAGAAAATGCTTCTGAACGACATAATGTTTCAGTTATACTTGTAGCCAAGGCAAGGCCTAGAAAAAAACAACACTTGTTTGTATTTTACAATGATTTTTCATTGTCATATACCTTCATTTGTTGATGTACTTGAACAAATCTACAAGATGAGAAGAAAACATATTTGTTGGATGCAATAAGATAGAATAAAACTCTCCTATTGTGGGTGCTAGGAGTGATTATTTGTAGTTGCTCTATTCTGAGCACGAATCGATAATTATATGAATGTTCGGAAAAATACAAGAGACAATTACTAATTGAAAAACGAATATATAGCCAACTCTATTGGATGAGTCCAAAGACTAGTATCTTATCATGTAGCTATCAAAAGGACTAGGACCGATAAGGCTATTTTTCTGTCCCCAACAAAATTGACTTTTTTTACCGATTCACAGTCCGACATGATGTCTGATGATATTCCAGGGGTCAAATTTTGAAAAACTGACCAAAAAGTTTTTCGGACCTGGGGTCCCCCACAGGGATCTCTGGGAAACTTTTTATCCTTGGTTTCGTTGAAATGTATGTTTGTTGATAGAGTCCAATGTGCTGATTTAGAATATCAGTATATGAAGTCCTCAAAGGCTTT